TTACGACGTTCAAATCGCGTCCGTCCGTCCGATTAAAATTCTAAAGGTCTTTTGAACGTCTTTGTCGCGTCCAATAATTTTTTCGTCCAAAAAATATCCAGAATGCTTAATTAAATAAAAAAAAAATCAGTTAAATCACGCAAGCGCTAAAAATTTTTTTAAAGCAAGAAGTTTTGATGAACTCATATTCTTTAATTAAGCAAAAATTTAAATCAAAAAGGTATATAGAAAAACTTTTAAAAATATAGCATCTATTTTTTTTCTTTACTATTTATCATTTTATGATAGTAAGAATTAGTGTGTATCGAAAAACAACTTTTTTTGAATTTGAAACTGTAATAGAGCGGAAAAGTTGCATAATGATATAAAAAGTAATTGTGCCAAATTTTTTTGTATTTTCTTCATGTCTTTAGTTCGCGCTAGGGTTTTAGTTTTCGTAGAAAAACACGTTTTCTGACCTTTTTTACAAAATAAAAATAAAAAATTCTATGCATATACTAGAGTTGTAATAGAGTTTAAACATTAAACAATGACTAAGTTAGAAATTGTTACAATTTTTAAGAAATTATTTTAATGTCTTCAGTTGACGTTAGTGTGCTGAGTTTTGACGAAAAAACACTGTTTTTTATTTAAAACAATTTAAATTATATTGTTGATGCTTCACTTGTCGTCACCTGTCTTCACTGTTACAACAATGGAACAAAAGTAATTAAAATGTAATAAACCAAACAATGCAAATGGTTACAGCGGTGATTTTAAAATGACATTAGTATATATGTAAAATGTCACTAATTACGTCATTTATTACCATCACCATCAGCATTATTAGAAAATTAGCTAAAAGCACAAGTTATAATTTATTAGTTCTGATTTACATCTGTTTATTAATAAAATAAATTGAAATCAAAGAAAATTTTAACGGCAAAAATGTCTTCCGCTGCAGTGACAACAAGAAAAAAGTCTACTTGTCTTATCTTTGGTTCACCAGCAGACTTACGAGCAAATGTCTTGCCAACATACAAACATGTCATGCTAAGTTATCTTTTGTCAATGCAGAAAATGAGAGTGGAAACTGGCTGAAAACAACCTTCTTTCAAAGAAATATCTGAAAATTTGGCGCACAAAATAGAAAATTTGTGGGGAAAAGCATCGATACCTACTGTGTCTCATAAACGCATTGTAAAAATGTTTCTTGGTTACAATCAAAAGTATAGAAATATTATGAAGTCTGTTAACAAAACGAAACATACAGACAAATTGAAGTCGAAAATAATAACATTTCAAAAGCATGCAGAAAATACTTTATTTGACGTTGCAGAATTCTAATGCCTTGATTTTTCTAAATGCATCTGTGAAAAAGCAAAGAAGGTACCAGAGAAAGAACACGAGTTTCTTAGCGATCAGAGATTTATGAGGATTATGTATATGGAAGAACTCGATATTCAAGCTATTTTAAGATTACGGCGAAAAGAAGCAAGAAAAAACAGAGTAAATAGCCCCTTGCCGTCTAATCCATCAAAACAGCCTTGTGCTATTACAGATATTGAAGCTCAATCAACATTATCAAGTTTCTATTCTATATCTCAAGATTCTGACTCTGATGACACTGTGATTTGGAATACTGACTCAGAATCAGATGCTGATTATTTAGACACAGCTGAAGGCCACAAACAAAAAAGAAACAGGAAAAATAAAACTGAATAAATGTTTCACCGTTACTATCCTTAGCACAAGCCTGCGATAGAGTTGGTGTTTCAAGCAGAAGTGCTGCGTTTATAGCATGTGCTGTGCTGGAAGACATAAACATAATTTCAAAAAGAGACTCATCTAAAGTAATTGATAAAAATAAGGTTCAAAGAAAACGAAAGAAAAACAGACTTAGAATGCAACATTTAGATCATGAAAATATTCAAATGTTAGAAGGTTTATATTTTGATGGAAGAAAAGATACAACATTTGTTATTGTCATTGAACAAGGGAAAAAATATACGAAAAACTATCAAAGAAGAACATGTAGTTTTAGTACAAGAACCAGGGTCAAAGTATCTAGGGCATGTAGAGACTGCATCAGGACATGGATACAGCATTAAGACAAGTATAAAAACATTTTTAACTCAGAACAACATTGATACATCCAAATTAGTTGCCATGGGTTGTGACGGAACAGTTGTCAATACCGGATTTCGTAATGGTGTTATTGCTTTGTTCGAATTAGAACTCAAAAGACCTGTCCACTGGTTTATTTGTCAAATACATGCTAATGAACTGCCTCTACGGCATCTAATTCAAAACCTAGATGGACCTACATCAGGACCTAACGGGTGGTCTGGACCGATCGGAAGAGAAATTAAATTGTGTGATACCTTGCCAATTGTCAACTACATTCCTATCAGTGTCACATTGCCAAAAATAGACAATAAATCTCTTAGTTCTGATCAAAAATACTTACTTGATATTTGCAAAGCTATATCTACAGGTTATTGTCCAAACGCTTCGGCTAACCGAAATCCTGAAAAAATTAACCATGCCAGGTGGGTGACCACTGCTGTAGCGAACCGTCACACAAGCTGAGAGAAATAGTTGAGTTTGTTATTAGAGTTTACTGCCAAATGTGGTTCACTAAAAGATATGCACGGAAGGTGCTAGACATTTATGGCTAACCATCAATTTATCCAGGTATGCCAGTAGTGAAATAAAAAGTATCATCGATCCAGTTATACAAAGTAATGCTTTTTTTGCACATCCAGAAAATATGCTTCTGGCTATGATATCGGATACTCGTCCAAATGTGAGAAAATTTGCATTAAAACAAATAATGAAATCAAGATCAATCAAAACAAACAAAGTTCGAAAGTTCTCTGTACCAGAAATCAATTTTGAAGCAACAGACTATATAGACCTTAATGATTGGATTAAATGTGAACTAAGTGAACCTCGGATTACCACTCACATTTCAGATGAAAATCAAATTGAAATGTTAACAAATGGTAATCTTCCAGATGTGCAGCATTTTCCATGCCATACTCAAAGAGTAGAGAGATGCATCAAACTTGTAACCGAAGCTTCAGATCAGTTTGCGGTTTGGCTAGTAGAGACTTCATTCGTGCAAGACTTGCATCGCGAAAAAAAAATGCCTATATTCAACACAAAAAGACAGTTTGAGACAGAGGCAAATGAATAAGATAGTTGAACTTTATTACAGCTCAACTTTAAACATTTTTCAAAAACATTTTCCACTCTATTAAAACTTTAATTGTACATTATGGACTGCTAAGCTTGTTTTCCAGAAACTAATGAAACAGTGTTTTTTCGTCAAAACTCAGCATACTAACGTCAACTGAAGACATTAAAATAAATTTCTTAAAAATTGTAACAATTTCTAACTTAGTCATTGTTTAATGTTTAAACTCTATTACAACTCTAGTATATGCATAGAATTTTTTATTTTTATTTTGTAAAAAGGATCAGAAAACGTGTTTTTCTACGAAAAATAAAACCCTAGCGCGAACTGAAGACATTAAAAAAATACAAAATAATTTGGCACAATTACTTTTTATATCATTATGCAACTTTTCCTCTTTAAATTCAAAAAAATTTTTTTTCGATACACCCTAATATATATATATATATATATATATATATATATATATATATATATATATATATATATATATATATATATATATATATATATATATATATATATATATATATATATATATATATATATATATATATATATCAAAGTAATTTGATATCAACAAATTGGTTAAGTCATTTGATATCATCAGTTGGTTGTGCATTGGAACATCAGTGGCTAGCGTATTTTTAGTAAAGTTGCATTAAGTATAATCTTGTAGCACTATTTATTATATGGACCTGAAATATAGTAGATTTTATTAATGTAGTTTTATAAATAATTCCACATAATTATAAAATTAATGTGGAACTAATTAATTTTACTAATGAAAAAATGCTTAAATGAATTTTGTTTACTTTTTATCTTTCATCTTTCATATCATTTTTTGTCAAACACGATCCTCTTTGTACATTGTTGCAATCTATGACGCTTTAATGAACCTGTTTCCTGCAAATATGGTATATGTCAACAAGTTGAAGGAAAATATAGAATATAAAAGCTGTTGCGAAAAAAAAAAATGTTTTACTGACAAGTTTGACCTTTATACAACAAATTTTTTAAAGGTTGAAGAACATGAAATACAAAAGTAGTCCAAATGGGATTCAAACAAGGCCAATAAACGATAATTAAACGACGCCTAGTTGCATTACTTCAATAAATATTAATGGCGTCTTTCTAATATGTTTTTTTTTTAGACAAATAATACTAAAAAACGTCATTCAATCGAATTTGTTATACATATTTTGAAGGTTAAAAAAACTTACTTTTCCTGCTGCGATAAGTTTTTTTTATATTTTTATAGTTAATTTACACTAGGTTTTGTTATTTAGGAGCCTTTTTTGAACTATTTTTATCTTTTATTCTGAATTTAGAAATTGAAAATTTTGTAATCTTTAATTTGTATTTAGCTGTTCTCGACAATAAGACATTAATTTATGAAATCTAGAATAGGAACAAAGTTTAAATTAATCTATGTTTAATGAGTATTTCAATGCGTTTGTAGTTTTCAATGGTAATAAAATCAGGAATAATTATTTACAAAATAAATAATATTAATCGTTATCTAAATAACAGCTTATTTATAATTTAATAATCTATTGGAAAAATAACAAGTAATATGGTAGCTTCAGATTTTATATCCAACTGTGACAGCAACGTTTTGTAAGTATCAAAGTTTTCTGTTTTCGATACAAATCACAACATTTTTAAAGTCGTGAACTGTATAGACTTGTACTTGTCTTTTAAAAAAACAAAAAATCAATTTTGCATCAACTATTTTTAATTTTCTTTTGCAAATAGTAAATAATAGTTTTAATTCAACAAAATTCAATTAAGTATAAAAATTCTTTTAAAACTGTATGACTTGCAAGAAAACTATAAGCTAGGATGATAAATGATAAATATGAAGGTTGGATTTATAGATTTGGGCGTGATAAAAGAAAACTTTGGGCGTGATAAAAGAAAACTTAGTTTTAATTTTAGTTGATATAATTTTCATTCATAACAACTAAATAGAAATTTAATCATTAACTGAACATTTTATTAAATGTAAACAGAGGATTTTAAAATATACATGAACAAGTGAAAATGGATCAAGTGGAAGTATATCGATAAAGTGATTCAAGTGATTATAAATAGATCAAGTGGATTATGTGATTGAGCTAAGCATCTAATACAAACACAGAGTTTTTTTGGATCAAATAATTGTGCTTCCACTCAAAGGTTGGTAAAATTTAGACATTTTTTATATCATTTATTTTTGTTTGCTGTTTGCTTTGGGTCATTGTCTTGTTGAAAAATAAAAAATCATCAACCCGTCGATAAATTGATATGTTCGATTATGTTTGATTTGTCAATGTATATTTTCAGTAACATGTTATACTCGATTTTAAGAACTCATTCAACTTGGTCCAAGTTTCCAAACTCATGATCGGAAATTCCATCTTAAACCTAGATTATTGAGAAAATTTAATTGAGGCACGAATATACTTAAAACTATGTTTAACCTTTTTTTTCTCTAGATTCTATTTCGATAACCATATCGTAGCACAATAAGTGACTCGTCTATCTATATTAGACGTTTTAATTTATTTAATCAATTCAAATAATCTTTACGCCAACTTCTACATATATATAAAAACATACAAGTTATATATATATATATATATATATATATATATATATATATATATATATATATATATATATATATATATATATATATATATATATATATATATATATATATATATATATGTGTGTGTGTGTGTCTGTGTGTGTGTGTGTATATATGTATATATAGTATTATTAATAATAATATTTTATATATATATATATATATATATATATATATATATATATATATATATATATATATATATATATATATATATATATATATAATATATATATATAATATTATTATTATTCTCAAACCATTAAGTATTTAGCATAACATTTGTTTATATATAAAGTATGTAGTATAAAATATATTTATAACTTTTAATTAACTACATAAACTTTAAAAAATCATTATCATTATCATCATAATTGACATAATATTGGAATAATGATCATCATTGCAATCTCCTCATTAAATTTACAGTCAAGCTTATTGACTGTAAATTTGATGAATGTCGTTTTTTCTATTTTTTTGAAATATCGTTTCTTTCTACTTCATCGTTTATTATAAATGTTCACCGCAACATTTTGTTGTGTTAAATGTTCACCGCAACCTTTTGTTGAGTTACTGAATAGTGGCATAGTTCTTTGCGTAATTTTTGTTTTGTGTCAATGTATTTATTTTTACTTGGTCTTATATTTAGTTCCATATTGGATAACAACTGAATTTTTTTTTTATATTCAATTTTAGACAAGTTAATATATTTAATGAAAAAAAACCAGCTTGTTTCGCTAAAAGGTTTTGACTTAAACTCTTTAAAAACAATCAAAGATTTTCAAGGTTTTTTACTACTTCATGAATTTTCAAACTTTTCAAAATTGTAATACTGAAGAACTTTTTTTTTGTATAGTAGCCTGATTGGAAAAGCTCATAATATTTTTTATAAACTTATATTTTTTTGATGTTTGTTATTTTATTACGAAAGCTTGAAAAAAATAAAAAATAGCCTAATTTTTGCATTGTTTGTATTAGAAATTTTAGTCGCGCTGTTTTTGTTTATATTTTCACTGCTTTCAAATAGTTTTTGGCCGAAAAAAATGCGTCTATTGGTTGTTTAGAATGATTTTCTTAAAACGACAATTATTTTTTTCTAAGAAAAAAACCAATAAGATCTGTTTTGCTAAACAAGCCACCATGTTTTTAAAGTTTCCTGAACTTAATATAAATCAAGAGATTGAAATGAGGAAAATATGTCGTACCACTAGATTACCGTGTCGTACCATTAGATTACCGTGTCGTACCACTAGATTACCGTGTGGTACCACTAGATTACCGTGTCGTACCACTAGATTACCGTGTCGTACCACTAGATTACCGTGTCGTACCACTAGATTACCGTGTCGTACCACTACCACTAGAATACTTCTAGATTATCTTAAAATTAATGTTAGATGTAATAACGTTTTTTCCCATCGATTTTGTTTAAGCTAACTAAATTTCAAAATCAAAAAGTCATTGGTTTATTACGTGTTTGCATGATTAAACAACAGGAACAATTTAAAAATAAACTTGTGTAGTAAAATTTTTGATGGCGGATTTTAATTATTTAGGGATAATATCTTTTACCGCAAATATATATAATACAATATTTGCTTACATTCATGCAATATATATATATATATATATATATATATATATATATATATATATATATATATATATATATATATATATATATATATATATATATATATATATATATATATATATATATATATATATATATATATATATATATATATATATATATATGTATATATATATATATATATTGCATGAATGTAAGGAAATATTGTATTTTAGGTAAATATATATTATAATACCATTATATCAATTAAAATGTAGAATGAAAAACATGTGCTACAATTTCAACTCCAAAGCTAAAGGAACTTTTCAAAGTGTATGCAAACAAAAGCATATCTGATCACTAATTGATAAGATTTTTGTTAATTATCATACCTTTAGTGAATCTATAAGGCATAGACTCAATAAGCTTGTCGATTCGAAATTGCTTTGTGTATGACCAGGCTATTTCACCTTGCAAGTTTACAGAGTTTAAGGCATTGATCGATTAAAAACAAAACACCAGTCTAAAAATTTTTAATTATCAATCGATTTTTTGTTTGCTTGGGGTAAAATAATTGGTTTTCTTAAAATTTCTGTGATTTTTTTTCATACTCTGCTCTTTATTAAGAATAAAGGTGTGCCATTTTTTGAGACTATAAACTAACTTAGATGCTTTGGTTACAAACTTTACAGCACGTTCAAAATGATTGAAAGTTGTTTGGAAGATACGTTAGTGGCAAAACCGCACCAGATTCTTTTGCGTTCATCAAATTAACTGATGAAAAACTAATTGTAGTAAGAGATTCCACCTCAAATTGACAATCCAACATTTACATCTTTATTATTGATTTGGGTTTAATCTAAGGGACACATTTTTTATTTTCTTTATTTATATTTATTGAACACAGTTTTTTAATCAACCGTGTATTTTTGTAGATTATGTAAATTAAAATAATTTTTTTTTCTTAAAAAAAAATATTGATGGTTTTATGATGGTTTGTTTACAATATTTCAGGTTCAGTTATTCCGGGTAACTTTATATGCTTTGCGTAAACATAAAATTAACATGATAAAACATGAAATTAACATAATAAAATCATCAAAGTTCTATGCAAAAATACTTCAAAATTGAATTATTTATACATAGCGAAACTATTTTTTACAAACCAAATAAATATTTTTGCACAAAGGGTGTTTTGATGATCTCTTTTTTCTAGATTTTTATAAATTTGCTATTTACTTTTTAAGAAAACAAAGTTCAACTAGGCATTCAAAGTTACGCATAAATTTAGGGTATAAGTTTGAATCTATTGAACTAAATGTTAATTTAAATCTTTTTCTTCTAAAAAGTTGTTTAAATTTCTTTACATCGCTTTAAAATAATTTTTAAGTACATCTAGTTAGATTACATTAACAATAAACGTAAAAGTTATTTATTAAAATAATGCTAAAATTGCATTAATAAACAAAATAATAATAAAAAATAAACTAAATAAACGCTAAATGAACTTGTTGATCAAATTTTTAAGTTATGAAAGAAAAAGTTTTAAAAAGTTTTAAAAATAATTCTCTACTCATGATCATCATTTATTATGAGAAAAAAAATTTGATTTATGTTTACAAAAAAACTTGATTTTTGTTAACAAAAAAAACTTGATTTTTGTTTACAAAAAATCAAAGCTATAATATCTAAATGAGAATTAAAATTAATGCGACTCTGAGAAATAAAATTAATGCAACTCTGCAACTAACATGTCATCATTTATTTTATACACACTCTTATCAAATGAAAGTATCTCATTTGGAATATTTCCGAACAATTTATCAGCAGTTTCAATTTTTTTGACTTAGCTAGGGTAAAGGTTCCCTCATATCCAATGAGACAAAATAAGTTTTCAACAAGCTGTTGGTTTTTGGTGTTAGTAGATATCATAAGTACTCTGTTTTGAGGCACAAATTTTTTCAATACTATCATTGTCTCGATTAACTTAAAAAATCACAATCAACGTGGATTTGTTCATTGTCACAAGTCATTAGGTTGAGCCAAAATAAACTCTTTTATAGCACAACCATGATCTTCAAAAGCATTGTAATTGTTTACTTGTTTTAAAGAAAGAACTGCAGGATTTCTAGACATATGTAAAACTTCAATAAATTGCTCATTTTCCACAATAACTTTGTAAACATCAACATATTTCTTATAAAATTTTCCAATATCGGGTTAAACCTTTAAATATTTCACATTATATTTACGTTATAGCTGTTTTTCCATTTAGTTTATTCTTTTTGAATAACTAAAAAATAATTTTATATGACAATCCTGCACACGCTTCCTTAAAATACTATGAGGCATTTTTTCCTTTTAACAACAGTTATCTGTCAAGATAAAGCTAACTCCATTTTCAACTTGATTGGCAATATTTAAACCATTGTTTTTTTTTCCGCTATCATCTTAGATAGATTTTAACAAAACTTTAAGGCATTAACACCAATTGGTATTTCTTTTACACTTATATAAAGTGAGTGAACTTATCTTAACAATAGTTATTTTAATTAGGCTAACAATAGTTATTTTAATTAGGCTAACAATAAATACTTAAATTAGGCTACTGCAGTAAAAAATTGTCTATTATTTATTTTGTATTATTCCATTGTTACACAAACAGCAAAAAAAAACTTTTTTTTGGGGTTAAGTTGAATATTCAAAGTAATCGTGATTTTGGTTATATTTTAGCTACGTGGAAGTATATATCCCTTTTGTAGCAAAAGACATGTAAATTCATATTATTTTGAATTAATGTTAAAAATCGATAAATAATTCAATAAAATACAAAAAACCTTCCCTAATATTCACAATATAATACATAATTATCACAATGTAATACAAAAATTTGTTTCAATATGGTAAAACTTCTGTAAAAAAAGTAATTTATCATTTTCTCATTGGGTGAAGAACAAGCAAAAAAATTACCAAAAAAAAAAACAATTTACAGTTTTAAATCAATGTTATCCGCAAATTTAATGTTAACCAGAATGACTGTATGAAAAAGTTTATTGGTTTACCATTCCGCATGGCGCGCAACGAACATAATTAGTTCAGCTTTTAATATTTCTTTTTGATAGAAAATAACACCTAAAATATCTTTCCCTATTCAGTTTACATTTTTAAAAAATAATTACATCATTGTTCTTAGTTTTATTCACAGAATTTTCCTAATCTATACCAATACTTGATGGAAAAAATGGAATTGCCCTAATGACTAGCCACTTATTTTTAATACCGTTTTTGAGCATTTCTGAACTTATCAGGCACACGCACTTTATCATTAAGTTATATATATATATATATATATATATATATATATATATATATATATATATATATATATATATATATATATATATATATATATATATATATATATATATATATATAGAGAGAGAGAGAGAGAGAGAGAGAGAGAGAGAGAGAGAGAGAAAGATAATAAATGTAACATTTAATTCTACATAACTTTATACAACTATACTTTTAATGAAAGAGTGTAATCCCGACCTTAAAAAGCCTGTAAGTACACGAAATCATCAAGCCTTTGACATCCCAATTGGTTCATTTAGTGCACATTGGTCACACTTACTTAAGATTAGTCTTCTCACGCTTTATTTACCATTTGAACCTCTAAGGGTAAACTTTAACTCACCCGACTATATTATTCGTTTCCACTAAAGTTTTCACAAACTCCAATATACTATAGTCCATGTTCTGTAAGCCTTTAGAATTAATAGTTTTTTTTCTGCACTGCAACTATATTATACAAGTAAAATGTTTTTTTTGATTAAAACCAAGGTTAAAAGTAAATAGTTTATGAGTAAATTGAAGTTCGACAACTTGTCGATATTAAAAGCTTGAAACTCAAAACAAAGTTGAAATGCTACATGTTTTATACTGTTTTGTATAAAAAAAAAAGTTAAAAGTCAAGTGAGAACTAAACAAGGTTTCCACAATTATTAGAAAATTGTATCTTATTAATTTTTTTAAACTAAAATTGAAAAAAGTGTGAAAGAGAGAAAAAAATAGAAAGAGATAGGATAAAGATAGAAATAATAAAAATAAATTTAGCCTAGAGAAAATTGAATGAATGTTATCTAGGTAAAGTTGGTCGTTTCAAATTTTGGACAAACCAAAGTTTTTTTATTTGCTGAAATTTGTTTGAAAGCAACTGTTGTTGAATAAAGTTAATTATTCTTAAGTTTATGTAATCCGTGTTCTTTAACAACGTTTTGCTATGTATAAACAACGTTTAACAACGTTTTGGTATGTATAAACAACGTTTAACAACGTTTTGCTATATATAAACAACGTTTAACAACGTTTTGCTATGTATAAACAACGTTTAACAACGTTTTGCTATGTATAAACAACGTTTAACAACGTTTTGCTATGTATAAACAACGTTTAACAACGTTTTGCTATGCATAAACAACGTTTAACAACGTTTTGCTATGTATAAATAATTCAATTTTGAAGTATTTTTGCATAGAACTTTAAAATGATTTTATCATGTTAATTTGAACACCTAGAATAGAAATAAGTTTGTGTGATTTATTAGTATGTTATGTTAAAGATTTATTGATAACAGCAGCTGATTTAACATTAACGCATGAAAAAGATTTAAATAAAAGTTAATCTTTATTTTTTAATTTAATTGATAGTGTATTAAATTTGAGCCAGTTCGCGGTTTTATCGAACTATAATTCGGTTTTTCGAACGAGATATTGGTTTTGACTAATTAAATTAATCCATTACAAAAAAAAAATATTTGTAATTGAATAAAAAAAGGTGTCATCAGCACTCATTAGTTTAAGGGGGTTTGTATATCACTAATTTAAGGGGGTTTGCAAAATCATAATTTATCAAAATCATAATATAAATCAAAAACAAGAATTTCTAGTTTAGATTCCGGTCAGTCTTTGTCAAATTACAACTTTTTACAAGTTTATGTCTTCTTATTTTTTATCTATATTTTTAGTCTGCATTTTGTTGCTTAAATATAAAATTTCAATATCTGTATTAAAAGCAAAAATTAAAATAAACATTATTATAAATAAAAAATATTTTTCTTAAAGTTCTCATTAAATTCTCAAAGTTTTCATTAAATAAAAAATAACACTTGTGTTATACAATATTGTTTTTAATTAGTTTTTAAAAGTAAAATTAAAACATGAAGTAAAACTAAAATTTTTTTAAAATAAGTTTTTTAAAATAATTTATATGTTTACACATGCTATATTTCTATTTTTTGTGAAAATGCTATGTTTTTGAGAAAGTGTTTCTAGTTTATGTTTTAGAGAAAGTGTTTCTATTTTATATTTTTGAGAAAGTGTTTCTAGTTTATATTTTTGAGAAAGTGTTTCTAGTTTATGTTTTTGAGAAAGTGTTTCTAGTTTATATTTTTGAGAAAGTGTTTCTAGTTTATGTTTTTGAGAAAGTATTTTTAGTTTATATTTTTGACAGAGTGTTTCTTGTTTATTATTATATATATTTCATTATTTCGTTATTTCTTTAAAGAACGAAATAATGAAAAATTTGCTTTACTTGAATTAATATAGAGTGTATTAGCTTTGATGTTTTTTAATATAAATATAATAAATTTAAAAAATTTCAAATACACTCTATTAAAGAATACACTCTAGTAAAGAGTGTATTAGCTTTGAAATTTTTTTAACTTAGTGTTGAAAGTGTTGAAGTCTATTTTTTCTTAAATTAAAAAAGTTTCTTTCGTTAGCAAACGTTTTTGTTGATATATTTGACGCTTTCTGTAAATCATTCATATATATTTAGACAAACAGAGGCCTCAGGATAGATCCGCGGCAAAAAATGAGGCAATTTCAACTCATTATTTAGTTAGTTACAAAATTGATTTGTTGACATTATTGTCAACATTTCCACAAGATTTATTACGTTTCAAGCTTTTTAATTTTTAATGTTAACTCCTTATTTTTAGTTTCAAAGATAAAATAAAAAACAAAAGTTTCATTTTAACTATATTAGAGATATTCTTTAAATGATTCATTTTCATTAAGAAGTTTATTATTCATACGCTATATTGTTTTCATTGTCAATATTTATTTTTTTAAATATAGAATTTGCAGAAGACTTTTTTTTTAATCATTTTTTTTTTGCCTTTTATTCCATCAAAAATTTTTAGGTTTATTTGAAATTTATTTGCCACTTTTTAAGTTGCATTTTATAAAAGTTTGTATTTGCAGTTCTTAAATTTTTTCAAATAAATATTTTTGTCTTTTTGTTATGCTTTCGTCTTTAGGTTTTGTTTTAGATATTTTTTGTGCTACCACTATATTTACTATGAGAACTTTACTAAACCAAGTTACCACTATATTTACTATGAGAATTTAATGCAGAACTTTACTGAACCAAGTTAAAGACTATTTTATAAGTTATTGTTCACTTTTTTTCTCATTTATAAACAAGATAAATTTACAGATGAGTTTCTCGTAGTACATATCATTAAGTAGAATTTTTTAAAAAGACTGGCAATCAAAGAAAACATGGGCGATGCAATACCACCATAATGTTTCATAAAGTCCCTTAAAATAATAAAATTATGTCAAAAACATTATAAGAACCCATTTAAATATATAACTCTTAAATAAATTTCTGATATAATAAGAAAGTAAATGATTTTAACAATTAATATAATAAGATAAACATGTAATAAGTAACAATCAAGATTAAGAAATAAAATTTAGCTGATAAATTTTTCGTGTTTTTATTTTGAACGATTAAAAATGTGTTCTCAATGATTTTACCATATTTGAATTATCTTTTCAAAAACAAATAAATTACTTATAGCTCCATTAATTAAATCCATAACGGTTTCATATATTAGAATTAAAGATGTAAATTTGTTAACAAGATCAAGTCCTATATTTGTAAAATATATATTAAACTTTAGATATTTATTTAGGGCAAAGTATTCCAGTACTTTTGATATTAAATTTTTTTGGTTCTGAAAGTGTTTTTATTTTTATTTTTTCCTATTAAATCATTGGTTACCGATAGGTTTTTTTTAGAAATTAAACTTACACTTTTATTAGACAATTACAAAATTTTATTACACAATTACACAATTAAACTGTTTACTGTAATATATTTGTTTAAGTTTCTTTAAAAAGAATAATATAAAAGTGTTTGCATGTTTCATAACTTTTTTTATTAACAGTATTTTATTTTAAATTTATTATATCTTTTTTTAGAGCATTTTTTAAGTGTTTTATTTATGGTTAGCGAGTGTTTTTTGTTTTTGTTTTATATATTTCATTTGGACATATATTTTATTTTCTTTATTGGCTTTATTAAAAATCTATTATAATTTGATCAAAAGTAAATTACACGTCTCAAAGCCATTTTGACTTTAATAAACATCACTTCAACAAACACAAACTGATCATAGTTGCCGCCTATTTTGATTGGTTGATGTAAAACAGATTTCTATCATTTATTAATTTAAAACTATTTAAAAGTAATCAAAACCTTGTTATGAAAATATTTTTTTTGTTTAAAATTTGTATGAACATAACATATATAGACATGCATCATACCAAAATGTTAAAACTCTTGTGATTTTTGATTATTTTAACAAGCAAAAGCCAGAACATAAAATTTTGTAGCCTATGAATAGTACTTGTTTGAGCTTGTACCCATGTATACATGTATTATCAGGATGTATACCTGGTATTGTACCATGTATACATCCTGGTATTTTACCCATGTATACATCCTGGTACTATACCTATGTATTCATCCTGGTTATTTAACAAATATATATAATTCATAATTTTAAGTGGGATCAAAAGTCTCATATCTATAAACATCTACATGCTAACGAAAATTTAATAACAAGTGTTTTTCCGTTTTAGGTTTGACATAAAATCGAGTAAATGCTCAGAGTTTAAATAAAATCTCGTTATTATGGTTTGAATAAACAGATTATTAAACAAGTTAAACAGGTTACTTCATATTCGTTATTTAGTTTGAGTTGTTAAACGTTTTATTAATATTTATGACATTTTTGTAATTATATTGGTTATCTTTGAGATCGGTTTTATCGCCTTTGTAGGTATATAAACAAAGTTTAAATAATTATTTTTTAAGTTTTTAAAAAATTTTTAAATAATTTAAAGTTATTCAGATTAAAATATTTATTATTTTAGTTATTGGAAAACATCTTTTCATAGATTTTTAGAGTCGTATCTTTACGCAATAATAAGTAATTGTAATAATAATTAAAGTAATTATAAACAACAGCAGAATTAAGAGAATTATTACCAATAACACAATTGAATTAGGAATTAAGAGATTTATTACCAATAACAGAATTTAATTAAGAATTAAGAGAATTATTCCAATTATTAACAGGTTCAATTATACCATAATTGAACCTGTCATTTCGAAAAGGGCACAAGTCCATTTTTCAAAATTTTTTAAAATTAACAAAAAAATAGTTTTTATTAAAAAAAATATAAAAAAACGCTGCCTAAGAAATCAAATATATGAGTAGATAAATTTATATAACTATGTAAGTACTTATCATAAAAAAAAACATAATCATATAGAAATTTTTATTTTAATTTTATAAACTAATTGTTGAAAGTTTTCGAAATGACAGGTTCAATTATTTAATAGATCTCAAATCGTTTAATAATTTTTTGTATATTATACTCAAGGAAACTAATATTAAAATACTGTTAAATCGCATATAAATATTATAAATACAAAGTATTAACTTTAAAAAATAAACAAAAGAGCGTGAATGTAAAATGGATTTAGACAAACATGAATAAAGGTTTTCTTGAAACCCATTTGAAAAAAAAAAAGTTCGTAACATTCAACCAAGTTTGAATATAGAAATAGAATACTTGGTGGAATATAATTTTTTAAAAATCATTTTTTTTACTTCTCTGCATTTTTATTCCGAAAGGTTATGTACGTTTGGAGAACCTTATGTACCAAGCCAATGTACATTTAGAGAACCTTAACACACCTGAAGCTTTTCTTAGTTTCAATGTTTTATTAAAAATATGTTTTACTGAAATTTTTAAATTTTCTACCTTTATATATCTTTCACACTTATTTTTATAGTTAACTTATTAAACGTTGCCTCAACCCTGATTTTAGAGCATATATCACAAAATTTTTGTGAAAATTTCATGTCTTATTATTTAACTTTTTATTTATGTATCTAGTATAGTATATCCCTTTCGCTAAAAAAATCAGAAAACGTTCGCAAAAAAACTATTTAAATGCCTGACTGAAAAAAAAACCTGTTACAGTTACTTGCAAAAGTATTTCCAAGTGACTAATATATTTAACTTGATTGATAGGTTTTTTTTTATTTTTATTTTTGCATTGTCCTAAACTACCCCTATATATATATATATATATATATATATATATATATATATATATATATATATATATATATATATATATATATATATATATATATATATATATATATATATATATATATATATATATATATATATATATATATATATATATATATTATATATATATATATATATATATATATATATATATATATATATATATACATATATATACATATATATACATATATATACATATATATACATATATATATATATATATATATATATATATATATATATATATATATATATATATATATATATATATATATATATATATATATATATATATATATATATATATATATATATATATATATATATTATAAGGTTATAGATAAAATTTAGATTATTATTTTTTTAACTGTTAACAAACGGAGGTAAAATATTAGTTTTAAATTATTTTTTCAGTTTTCATCATAATTTTACTTATTTTACAATAACTTTTTTTTAATTTTTAAAATAAAAGTTTTCGTTTACAATTTTTTTTTATTTAAAACAAATGATGTTTAAAAGAGTAAATCATACTTTTATCAAGATGCACCAATCAAAAAGCTTTAATCATCACAAAGATGTTTTCAAACTAAGATACTATTAGCACCTACTGATAGAGAAAGTTATAGATAGAGATATGTTTCATATTATCATATTTCTCAACACTTTTGTTCAGAAAAAAAATTAAATTATTAGTGACTTAATGAAGTAACTGTAACAGTATAGGGTAGATTTGGGTAATATGAGCACCTTAAGCGAAAATTGGAATATTTTAAAAAATAATTATGCTGGATTCAACATTTTTGCGAATAAACAATTTTTAGGGACCACTACTGATGATCGGCCCCCGAAGTTTTTTCTTAAAACACAAAGGTATATGTAGCAAAAGTGCTCATAATACCCAGACCACTTGGTAATATGAGCACTTTAAGTTAGCTCAAAAAATTAACGCTAATTGAGTAAAAAAATATCAACCTGACAATTAGAACTATTTTGTGGAATATAATGATTCGTTATTAACAAAACTTATGATTAAAAGATTAAATTTTAAGTCACTTTTTGTTGAAACAATACTACTTTGTTTTCCGCAAAAAAAAAAAAAAGTATTAGTTTTTTTTTTTTTTTTTTTAATGATGATTTTATTTTAACAACGCAAAAACTTTCATTGCATTTTAATTCGATGATAGCCTCTAATTACTGCATATAAGTTTATACTAATTATACTGATTCCTGTTATCACCACATAAATTTGATTCAAAAAATACAAAGCAACTTTAAATTTACTGCTCACATCTAAAAAAACTTTAAGTATGCTTATATTATCAAGGTGCTCATATTACCATGATCTACCCTAACCCTAAAGTAACAACTTTACTGTAGGCCTGTTTTTTTGGTAGAAACAACTTTAATTAAGGGCTTTTTGTTTTCTAGAAAGAAGTTTCCTGCAGGGCTGCTTGCTTGCTTGAAACAAGTTTAATATAGGATTGCTTGTTTGCTAATAAAAACTATAATGCGATTTAATATATTATGTAGGGCTGTATTACCATTTGTTAACTGTTGTGTATTTATAAAATTTAAGTTGCTTTAAAAAAACTATTAAAAACTTACTAAAAGTACAAAAAACTTAATTAAAAAAAGTACAAAAAACTTATTTAAAAAAGTTATGACTAAACCTAATTACTACAACTAACGTAATTAAAAAAAAAACAAATTAAAAATTAAGTATAAAACTAGTTCACTAACGTTTCACGAATGTTCTACTAAAGTTTTTAGTTTTTGTTTAAAAAACCGCGAGCTTTATGCAAAAAGTAGTTTTTAATAAATAAAATTGATAAAATTGTGGAGATTGCACCAGATTTTCACTTGCTGCACTACGGTTTAAGAGTCTTTATTTTAAGTTTTAATTATTGGGACAAGGAGCTGCATAGTTAAAGTAATAACAATAAAAAGCTGTATAAAATGTTATTGTAAAAATGTTACTTTAAAAACTTTTTATGTTAAATAACATATTAATTATTAAAAATAAGATGATACCACATTATTCCAAGATGTGTTTTGCAAAACAATTTTTATGCAAAAAATTTTTTATATGCAAAACAATTTACACGCAAAACAACACTTATGTTTCCTTTAAATAACACTTCCAATGATTTTTTAAGATAAACTATTAAACACCAGCATTAATTTATCTTAAAAAATAAAGACTGGAAACATGTTTTGCATAAAATACACGTTAATAATCATTTTTTTTCTATCAATAAACTTATAACAAATGTTTTATGGTCTACCACAGGTTTTTTTTCTTGGTCCTCTATTGTTTTTGATAATGTTAATGATCTAAACAACTCTGTCGCATTCTCATCAGTCAATTTGTTTGCTGATAATAATATCTTGGATATTATTAAGTCTCATCATTCCTTGTGTAAGAATTTAAACTTAGATCTAAAAGATTTAGTTTATTGGCTAAATGCAAACTTAATATCTCGAAACTTGGAAAAAAACTGAAAAATATTTTTTTCGTCTCCAAGACAAAAACTTTTATACAACAATCATATAGCTAAAACTAAAGTTAATATTAGACGTTTATATCCAACACACGTTATTAAATATCTTGGTATTTTTATAGATTTGAACCTTTCATGGAATTTTCTTATAGATGCACTCCATACAACACTTAATCGAGCTAATGGCACGCTTTCAATAATTGGCCATTATGTTGATAAAACTACACTTAAGAATCTGTGTTTTACAATTGTAATATTAATAAATTGTTATCAGCTCAGCGTCAATCAATCCGAATAATAAATTTTCAACTCCATAAGAGTGAAACTTCAAACTCTTCAAAAAAACTTCTTAAATTCCTACCTTGTCAGCACTAGTTTGATTTTCTTTCTTTTGTTTTTGACTCCCTTAATAAAAATTTACCTTTGTCTACTACAACCTTTTTCACGGAAACTCAATTTATACATTCACATTTCACTAGAAACAACAATAATGGAAAAATAAATGTACCTCCCTTTAAAATATTGAGGTATTGTAAGTGTTTAATGACACATTAGTGGACCAGTGAATGGAATTGAAATCATTTTTGAATTATGAATGAGTTTGATAAATTAAAAAGTTCAAAATAACTTATCTTTATTTATTTATTTAGAACAAAACAAATTAAATAAACTCTAAAAAAAAATTATTTTAGTTTTTTATCATTATTAACTTCTTTCAGTTTTCTTAGTTTTCGTTTTATTCTTACTATTTTTATTGAAACTTTGTTTTTGTCATTATTATTTATTAATTTTAGTACTGCTATTTTTATTACTGCTATGATTATTATTGTTATAATTATTATAAATAGTTTTAATTTTGCTGTTACTTTTGCTCTATGAATGAGAAAAATTATTTTTATTATTATTATTTTTTAAATTAGTATTATTATTATAACTATTTGGTGTCACTCCCTTGATCAGGTTTTTGCATGAGTGACTCCTTCCTGTTTAGTTAATTATTTATATTTGTTCTTAATAATGACATTATGATTTTGTTATTTATAATATTATAGATATTCTTGTTATTATTATTTTTATTTTTATTTTTCTTATTATCATTGTTATTATGCTATGGTAATTATATAATTGTAAATTTTGAGGAAAATAAATATCTTGTTGTTGTTGTTTGGTGTTGTTGTTTTTATAACTTCATCATATATAAATCAATCATATAAAAAAAGAAGAAATTGTTTTCTAATTTTTATCTGCTAACCTTCTTTCATTAAAATTGTAATCAAGTAATAACCTGGGTTCAGTGGGCATATGTTGTCCATGGAACGTCCGTCGGACTTCATACTGACGTCTGGACGTCTGACGGACGTTTCCCGGACAACACGAGTCCACTGGGGGAAAACAGGTGCTCATTTTATACAATTATTTTGATATTATGAATAAAAAAAAAACAATTACATTTTGTTATTAATAATAAGTAATTTATTTTTTGATTGAGAATTTCTATTTAACTTCCAACTTTGTTATTATATACATAACACCTCTTATTTTATACATAACACCTGTTATTATATATATAGCACCTGTTATTATATACATAACACCTGTTTTATATATAGATAACACCTGTTATTTTATACATAACACCCGTTATTTTATACTTAATAATTGTTATTATATACATAACACATTTTATTTTATACTTAATACCTGTTTTTATATACATAACACCTGTTATTTTATACTCAACAACTGTTATTTTATACTTAATACCTTATTAATAATTAATAAGGTGTTAAATATATAATAACAGTTATTATTATATTCTTAGTACTTTATTATTACCGAGTAGTTCTGCTAATTAATTGTTATTTACTGTTATTTAAATTATTGAAATAAAATTTCAAGCATCATTAAATACAAACAAAACTTGTATCTTACTTAATTTTTATGTTATATTTTTATTTAATTTTTTGCATCACCTCGTCAAAAAATTTAGTCGACTTTAATTCAACAACATTTTTCTAAAACAAAACTTATTTTCTAAATAAACTATCTTTATGTAATTTATTCTGTAAACTGTTATATCTTTTCTTCTAGATAAAAAAAAAGCAAGACTTTTTATTTAGGTTGATTCTTAAATATGTTTAATACTTTGAACAGAAATTTTACTTAAAATAACGGATTTAAGTAAATGAATATTGAAATATTATAATTACCAATGCAATACTGCTTATATCTATTTCTTTATAATTTGTTGAAGTAACCAAAACAAAATAAATTAGTAATTTGGTTTAATTTTTGCAGAACTTTAATGAAGTTTGTCGATTCATGAGGGAATTTTGGTTTTGAAATGTCTTGTTCCGCAATATCAAGAATTTAATGTTACAGAAGTTGACATCAATCAAATTCAAATCAATAAGTGTTAATTAAATAGAGGTAAGTCGAAAGTTAATTTAAAAAGTTGAAAGTTTAATTTAAAAAAATAAGAAAGTAAAATAGTTTAAAAAAAAGTTATTTAAAAATTAAGCAGATTAGGAACAAAACACTTGTTTTGTATTGATTTCAATGGAAAGATGAATAAAAATTAAAATTTAAAATTAGAATTAGAAAATTAGCTCAATAGTAATAGAGGAAAAATGATTAAAGCAAAATGTTTTGATGCAAATCATTACCTTAATATACCAAAATACCACAACAACCATGACGCACAAAATAATATATGATGTTTGTGATGGGGATGCACGATGTCTGGGGATATTCTTGCTCATGAAAGATTTAGTTATATGAGAATAAATTAGTTGAAAAATTCGCATCCTGGGTGTACCTGTATAATGAACTCCGACTAAAAGCCTTTTTTATAAAAACTGAAAAAAAAAGCAGTTTGCCCACGTACTTTTATTGAAACAAATGGGTTAAAATGTTTTAAAGAAATTCATAGTGAACCTCAAGTACAGTCTTAAATTGACAGTGGCTTCAATTTCCGTCTTAAATTCATAGTCACCCTCAAGTACATTTTTAAGTAATTCAAACTTCATTAACTAAAAGATTTCAGATGATATAATAATAGATGATTAACTATTGAATTTAACAATTTAAAAAATTTGAAAACTTTTTCTAGGTGATAGTTAACATTCACTATTCAATAAAAAAGGTTAAAACTCTTGAATTTAAAACAACATTTACTTTCAAACAGAAATAAACCTTTTCAAGTTATTTTGTTTATATCTAAAACGCAGCTGTATACGAAACGTTTTTTTTTAAACTTAGTATCACAGTGGGCACGGGACCTAAAAAAGACGTCTTTTGAACGTTCAAAAGTCCATCAAAACGTTAAAAAGACAATCAAATGGCGTTTTTTTTACGCCCCATGCCTATTGGGATGTTGTAATTACTATATGAATTGAATTTGATTTTATTTAGAGTCAAAAAATTTACAATCAAGAATAATTTATTGATGTTTTAACAAAAGTTAATAATACTGTAAATTAGTTAATCATTAATTATAAAGTATATTGACGAAGAGATGCAACACCTGGCATCTCTATACTAACTAATGTGTAGCTTAAATTATCGACAAGACAAGTTGTCCATCATGATAGGAAACTTTTGAATAAGTTGACTGTGTGAGTGTTAATTGCTTCCTATGGTAGCATATTTCAGGACGGTGTGACACGATTAGTAAAAAAGTAATGTCGCTCTTCGCAGTCGCTAACAAATTGTCTGTGATGCTGCTTATTATGACTTCTGCTATATGTGTTTTTAGAGAACCTTTGAGGAACAAAAGAAATAACATCATCCATTTTATTCACAATTTTAAACTTTTCAATAAGATCTTTTCTGGCTCTTCTCTCTTCCAGTATTGTCAATGTAAATAAATCGCCAGAGAAGAATGCTTTTGCTACGGAATGCTTCTTTGAGTAGGCCCAATTTGTAATTGGCTACTGAGACTGCAGACTTCACTTGGGCTCGGACTTTGAGGTCATTTAATATCAGAACACCTAGATCTCTTTCAATTTCAATTTCCTCCAGGTACTGACGAGTATCTTCTGTGTTTGTCATTGAACAGACTTGATTAGATTTTCTGTTACTTCAACCGACATGCATTGTGTCGCATTTTACCACATTAGAGAACATCAACCATTTGTGAGACCAGTTTATTGCATGTCTGATCAATGTCTGATTGTAAAGCTAGCATATCTTCATTCAATTTTATGATTTTCCTAATTTTTCTTTCATCTGCGTAGAGCTTAAATGTTGTCCGGCAGATCGTTTATAAATTGTACGAAGAGGAGTGGGCCGAGGACGTTACCTTAAGGGACGCCACTTGTGATTGTTTTCCAATTTGATGTGAATATTTCAGCAGTTGATTGAGTAACAATGACAACACGCTGTTGTCTATTGTTGAGCCAAGCATTTATCCACATGAATGCTTTCTCGTTGATGCCATATACTTTCAATTTGTTAAATAGGCGGTTGTGTGGAATTTTATCAAATGGTTTTGCAAAATCAGTGTAGATCACATCGACTGGATACTTTTTGTGTGCAGCTTCTGTAAGGAAGTTGCGAGTTTTGAGGAGATTTGTCAAACAGCTTTTTCTTTGAACGAATCTGTGTTGTGCTGTGCTTATTAAACCGTTTAAAATACAGTGTAGCATTATTTTTTCATGTAAAATGCTCTCGAATATTTTGCATGATATGGATGTGAGAGAAACTCGTCTAAAACTTGATGCATTTAGTTTGGTTCTTTTCTTGAAAAGGGGCGTGATGTTTGAAAGTTATTGTTAAGGCAATGCGAAAGCTTCTACGCAGTGTTTGAGTACACGAGAGTGAACGTTATCCATATCAAGAGATTTAGATTCGTCAAGGTTTGCAAGTCGAGCATGGATATCGTTGATTGAAAAGATACCCTCGTCTAATATACATTTGTTGTCAGTTCGGGGTTCTAATTCCACCACAGGTCCGTTTGGCTCGTTGACAAATACTGATTGGAAGTAATTGTTTAGGGTTGTGCAAATAATTTGAAGATCTGTTGAAATTGTTCCATCAGTTGCTTCTATAGAGTAAAATGCATATTTTAAGTTGTTTTTTTTTATACAAGCGTGTAGCTTTTTAGGGTCGTTTTTATATAAATTAGCTAGGTTCTCTTCATAATCTAACACGACTAATCACAAAGTTTTTGTTAAATTTTACATGTTTCTTTGTGCTCGTCTCTGAGCTCTCTATGTGCATGGCGACCAGAGGCGATATATTTATTTCAAAGTTCTTGTTTTGTTCTAATAGCTTTAAAACTTCGCGTGTTATCTATGGTTCGTGTTTTTTATTGAAGGGCAAGGAAGTCAACGGAATAAATTCTGTTATTAGTTTGTCATACACTTCTAGGAATAAATTGTAACATTCGTTAGCTGCGTAGTTTTCAAATAAGCTATACCAATCGGTTGAACTTAGTTTTAGCGAGAATTTAGCGTATTCAGCTCTGCTCCAGATATAGCGTTTGTTTTAGCGGTGCCACGTCTATCGTGTCGTTCAGAACGAATTGACCCGTGATTAGAGCGTGAGATTGTCCCATTGGAGTGTCCCCGAATGAGTCTTACTCATTTATTTCTATCAAGAGATCTGGCTGGTCTGTTATTACTAGGTTGAGAGTAATGTTCGGCTCTGAAAATCTGTTGTTACGATATGTTTTGAAGGTATTCAATTGTGTGAGTAAGCATTCGTTTAAGCAATCTTGAAATCTTATTTCACCTGATCGTTCATTTAGCACGTGCGCTGTTTTCGCCATGCCGCCGCCAATCCTAATATACTTATAAAATGTGTTGCTAAAATTAAATTCACTATAGATCAGAATGAAATCATACTCATTACCTTTGGGCGGCAGCTTTCGAAGCTTTGATAGAATACTATACAGTTTTTGAGAGTTTTGTCATTTAGGTCGTGTGGTCGATATATACACCCAAGAATAATTGAGTTGTTGCAAAGCTTAATAACGCGCCACTTTGTTCAGTGGCGTCTGAGTTCAGTTAAGCAAAATTGGTTTCTAATGTAGTAATTTCTTCTGGTATATAAATGGCCACGCCAGCTCTTTTTCCGTCTCTATATCTTCGATGAATTTGATGGCCTGGTATAACCGCGTCACTCGTTCTGCTGTACCAAGTTTCGGTAAAGAATAGAATGTGTGGAGTATTTTTAACGTCTAAGTTGCGTAAACGGGCTATGGCTTTCTAGTTTTTATTTTCATTTATCAAACACAGATTGTTGGCCCAAAAGCAGAGATTTACAGGAGACAAATTATTTTTATTTATAACAGGAATGCTGAGTGTTTTTAGCGTGTTTTTTTAGGCGGACGAGTACTCTTGAGTGGTGCTTTTTGATGCTGCTGTATTGCTTTGTCGATATTCGTTGAGAGCGGTCGTTGCTGAAGCAAACATATATGTTTTTGCTCGTTTGACTTTATGACACTATTACAGCACATTTAACAGGTTCTTTTGTGGATGACATACCAAAACGGTTTGTCGAGAATCCCAGTATCTTTCAGTTCTTCGTTTTTCTTTTTAAGTCTAACTAAAGTTTCGTTGAAAGCTTCTTTCTGAGCAGGAGTCTTCTCTTCTCGTGCGAAAACTCCGTTAAGTTGTTGTAGTTAATGGCGATTGCAGTGATTTAAAACGGCGCTTCGTTCCTTTTTGTTTACAAGAGAGACTAGAATAGTATTAAAGTTATGCACAGTTTGTTTTTTAATTGTGTTTAGGCGTTTTGCTTGTTTGATTGTAACGTTATCAAGGCCACAAGCATTGATAAACTCCGTGACGCCTGTCTTGTTGTCTTTGTTCTCGGTTTTGGGTACACCAACCACAATAACAATTTTTGGCGGCGACAATCTTTATTATTTTGTTTCTGTGTTTGACTGTTTCCGGTGTATTTCTTTTGAGTTCCGAGGCGTAAGTATAGGATTTCTTGTCTTCCAGTTTCTTGTTGAGATTTTCAATTTAGGCAGTGAGTTTCGCCTCGGTTTCTTTGTTTGTTCAATTTAATTGTTGGTGTAAGCGGAGAGTTTAATACCACCTTGAGCATCTCAGCGATGAATATTGTTGCTATGGTGCTTTTTATTATTACGTCGACTGTTGATACGCAAGTTAGGTTGAGAGCGGCCGCAGCGGCCGCTGTTGACGTGGCTTCGCCGGTTGACGTGGAATTTATATTATAAATAATTTATGATAATTGCCAATTTAAACAATTTCATTTTTACTGAAATATATGTATTAATAAATTTATAATTTTGTAAATTTATTACGAATATAAGTTTCATATATTTTATACTTTTTTAACAAATTTTTAAAAATTATAATAATATATAAATATAAAACTTTTGATTAGCTGTCGAGGATATATCAATAGTTTTTCCGTATATAATAATAATAATTTGTAAATAATAGTTTAATATA